ATTTCTTTTCTTAACCCTTTTTGTTACTCCTATGCCCTAGCACTGTTTCAATAACTTCTGGTCCCTAGCTCTCTCTGAACCTATCTCTTTCTGATTCCAACTCCTAACTGTTTCTCCCAGCTGTTCCAACTGTCATTCTGGCTCCGCCCCTCCTGCTCCATCCCCTGATTGACATGCAGGAATGACGTCATACCTTGGGTTCCGTTACACTATACAACAAGATTTTGACCATTCTGTTCGCCAAAATATTGTTGCATGAAGTATGCTGATATAAGAGAGAGGACACCACAGGCAGTGACAGCTAGTACTTGAACAGTTGGTGCCTTGATCCCAGAACTCACAGGATTTATACAGGGTCAAACCAGGAACTCTTTGGTTACAGACAATCTGCTGCTATTGGTGGCATCATCTCACTTAGATTGGCAAATCAACAGGATTTTGGCCAATATATCCAGCTTGAATTCTGTTTGGCTATCCCAGTTGCAAAATGGCCATGGGAGGGAAAGTGACTGCAAAACCAAAGAGACTTCGCAGTTGAGCATGATAAAATAATTCAAAGAATTTATGTGGGAGTATAGAATATGAAACTACAAACAAGGGTCTATTAGATGTCATAAGAAAAATAATGAGACTAATTTAAAAAAAGTTTTTCTTGCTTTTTTCCATTTTTTTTCCTTCAGGGTTCCTGTATCTTTTATTACTTCATTCTGTCCCAAATGTATTTTATTTTAATTTTATTTATTTACTTGACTTTTTATACCACCTGTCTGGTAGCCACTGCCACTCAAGGCGGTTTACACATTAAACAAATATATCATCAAACTAGAATTTAAAACAATAAACATAAAATTATAAAATCAAAATGAAACACATACACACCAACAAATTGAACTGAAAATAATTAAAATGATATAGAAGCAAGGAGACAGGACCAAAAGCATAAGTGTTAAAACAAGCACTGTATTAAGATGTTGCAAGGGCCAGAAAGGCCTGTATAAACAAACATATATTTAGAGATCATTTAGACATTCCTGGTGAAGGGGCCAGGTGGATTTCAGGCAGGATGTTGTTCCAGAGTTGGGGAATGACTGCCGAGAAGGTCCAACCTGACACTCTGAGGAGCCAGTGTAGAAGGATGAACTGTGAGAAACTGTCCTATAGGTATAAAACAGTCTCCCTTTCCTTGTTCGTTGCCGTATCTTAAAACATTGCTCTTCCAGGAATGTGTTTGGGTGAGACTGGGTGAGTCCTGAGTGCATCAAAGCTCCACTTGAGTTGTGGTGCTTTTTTTGTACATTTTGATCTGGGAACCATCAAAGAAAGAAGATACCTCAGTCTCCTTTTTAAAGTTATTTTTAAAGAAGTTGAAGAGAAGCATGTTTCCCAGCTAATTCAGAATTTCTTCTCTGCTTTTCTGTTCTTTAAGTGGAAGGCACACAGCTCTGTTTTTAAATGGTTTAGTTTCAGCTTATTGTTTTTACAACATAACTAAAGAACTTCTCATGCCGAGGTTATCTGGTGCTCAATAACCTCAAAGGCTTTCCCCAAGACTGTCAAGGCAACATCATCAGCATAGATGAAATTCTTGGAATATGGGGATGTTGGTTGATCATTTATGTAAATGTTGAAAAATAATGGCACCAAGATGCTATTCTGTGTTAGACCGTTCCTTTGCTTTCTCCAGCAGCTGTACCTCCCTTGAAATTCAACAAAGAATCCCTAGTTTTGAAGTAGAATGGCAACCGTTTCTTTAGTAAGGAGTAGAGCTCGTGGACTAACAGAAATTGTTGGCATTTTACCTCAAAGATTGTCGAATTTCAAGGAAGGTGCTTAAACTATTTTAACTGGTTACTCTCTGAAATATTTTGTTCATATGAAACATAGAAGCAACAGAGAAGATAAATAAAGATTGTAGAAATAGATAAGCTGATTTGGCCTGCAATTATTTCTACAATCAAAAGACTTATACTGTACCTTGTTACTTAGATGAATTTCTGATTAAACATGTAATGGATGTGTGCTGCATGGAAGGTGAAGGAGAGAGGAACCTAAGAAAGTTTTATCAGTAAACAAGCAAACCCCGCTTGGAAACTAAGCAAAAATGGATTTTAGCATGATAGCTAAGTGGAAGGAATTTTCACACACAAACAAGTAAAGCAGTAGTGTGTGTCCATCCAGTGCATGGTTGTTTCCTTGGTGCCCTTTTTGACAGAGAGGTCCACATTTGCGTGTTTGAGACAACTCCCAGAACAGAACTGTGAGAGTGTAAAAATGTGGGACGCAAACAGCATGTAGGCCCGATGCACAATGTAGATTTCAATTCATGAAAGTTGGCCTCTCTAAGGTCAGTAAGTATGTCTGAGAAAGATGAAAAGTGGCAAGAAATGTGCTGTAATAAAGGAAATTTATGACTGACAAAGTTCCATGCTGTATGAAGTTAAAAAATGGTTGACCGCAACCAGGAAGTTCCAATATATTCCGAAGATTAAGAATGCAGCAAAGGGGAAAAACAATCTTTGTATCAAGTCTATAATGCTTATCACTGTATGAACAATGTGCATTATGACACAAGAGATTCCTGGACTCCTGTTGCTCCATGCCTCTAATTGTAATTAGATTTTTTTACTTTTAAATAAGGATATTGTGCATTGAGACCATCCATTTGTTTGAATCATATTTTCTAACAGATTGCTAGGATAGAAAGAACAATACACTAATGTGATGTAGCACAGCCATTGTTCTTCCAGGGATGTTCTTTGATCCCTCAAAGTAGTAATAGTTTATTTTAAACTGGGAATCCAGTACAGTATCTAATGGGAAGCTTATTTAAATCATTCAAAAAGAAGATAGACCTTTGATTTCATTTTTATAAGCATATTGTCCTTATGGATGGGATAGGAGCCATTAATGTTTTATTAATATCTGAAAGCGAATGTGGGGTAGTGAATAGAGTGATGAACCTCAGTTCAAATCCCAGTTCAGCCACAGAAACTCACTGAATGATGGCATTGGTAAGACCACTCATTAATATTTTGGATACCTTGAAAACCTTATGAGGGTAGCCATACATTGGCTTTGACTTGACAGCATATAACACACATTAGTATTTACTGGGCAGTCAGTCCTACTATGTCCGGTCAGGTTTTTGTCTAGCTTCAAGTGGAGAACATTTCATCATATTCCTTACCTGTTCACCCTGTCTGCTTGCCAAGTCAGCAGCATCCTACTCCTTGAGATTTTGGGGGCAAACCTGAGACCAGAGGCTGAGCCCTTGTGATGTCATAGGAACAGGGCTGGCAGGATTTGGAGTAGGGGAGAACTTGTAACTGTTTATCAGCCAGCTGATTGTGGAACCAGGCAAACAGTGAATCTTAGTAAAATGGATACAGAATCAAAGGGAATCATAACTAACCACTGAGGACCGGGGATGGG